TAATGATATATATATATTTGTTAAGATATGTTGTTTACATGTTTAAAATTTCACGTGAATTGCTTTTGTTTTAAAAAGTTATTCACATTTATGTCACGTAAATAAAATTCCAAAAAGTTTTGTTACACACTGTATATGTTTTAATAGTGACTCAATTAATTGTGTCAAATAATTGCGTCAATTGTGTCAAGGATCTATGAATTTCAGTAACATGTATAACATCTATCACTATTATTACTTATCTTGTGATTTTTAATCAAATTAATCAATTTCCACCAATTTATTTTTAGGTGCAGTTCTAAAATTATTTATTATACTAACTAAATTAATCGATTTTCACATCAGTTTTACAGTAGAATTTATGCCCTGAGGAGAACACCCCCATGTCTTTTATTTTGGGTAAAAAATCTTTGGTGTTATAGTGCTAATATGCATTAAAAAAACCTCTTTGAAATTTGTTGATATCCTGGTTAATTTCTTGTGTCATATACGATTGAGATAAGTGATTCTTATGGTGATTAGTCTTTGAGATGATTCTGATCTATCTGGTTCTGAATACTCACTAATATTCTCTTTGATAACTTTTTTTCGGAAATATTTATTTTTTTTGCTAGAAATCACAAGCTCTGATTTTTCTATCGGCCGCACTTACAAAGTTACAAGTACATTGAACACTTGAGCAATGATGATTTATTACAGGCATTTTTGTCAAACCTATTAAAAGAACATTATGAGGGTATTAGAAAAAAATCTGTTGATTTTGTTCGATAAGAATTCTTGGCATTCAGTTTAAATCAGTAGAATACCCAAGGCTTGGATCAACCATTTTGACAATAAATTTGATTTCCTGAGTTCACTTTTATTAATCGCTCTTTTATAGATCAATTCTTTTGATAATTGATCATCTGTAAAGATTGCTCCTTTCAATAAAGCTATTTATTAAACATTGAGTCGAAATGATCTTTTTACTATAGAACTGACATCTCTTGTAACTAAGTAGTTAATCATTATTCCCTGAATTGACTACACCGATGACTGAAACTATAGAAGAACTTTCCTTCCATATCATTTGATGTCAATTACATTAGACGATCTTATTAAAATTCAGTCGCCAATTCCACAATACAACTGCTGCGTGATTCTGTATAATAGAAACTCCAAGGTAATTCACAAAGTATTAGGCTGGTATTTTCTAATAATAATTATTCAAAAGTGTTAAGTAAATTATCATGTTTATTTATTTAAAAATATATAATAGTTACTTTCTTTCCCATACGTAGCCGTGAGTTAAAAAAGATAATATCGGCGATCTCAGCTGGTGTAACGAGTTTGTATAAAAAAACCTGGTACTTCTCTTAAAAATGTTATCTATAAAATACTTGAATTTCAAAACTTATGAAATTTCATTCACTTACATGTTAATACTTCTATATACAGTATGTATCGGGAACATCAAGCGCAATTAATGTTACGGGGAGAGTGAGGCCCAGAAGCAACACAATACCGTATCGCGTTATGTAATAATGAGCCGATGAACGAAGATGGGAATATTATGGATAAAAAGATCTAAAGTGTGGATAATTAGAAAGCAAGAAAAATATAAAAAAAAATAGGCGCTGCATAAGTTGATTCCATCGTAAAAAGAGAAAATCATTTTATTCTCACAATCATTCAAATAAAGTTTAAAATGCCCAAACCTCTAATAAACTCTCTTCGTGTTACTCGAGTATCCAACATATTTGTAACTTCGTTAGAGCGGCAGATAGAGAAACCAGAGTTGTTATTTCACCAAAAGAAAATATTTCTGAAAATAATATGACAAAGAAAAGATTAGAAAGTATAAAGAACCGACCTAAAGAGTTAGAGCCTAATCACATAAGAATGAGACCCAAACCGCACATAGCGCAAGATATAACCTAGAGAATAATGACAAATTCACAATATCACTTCTAAATAACATAACCCATTAGTATTATAACCCTCACTTTGACCCGAACTCAACTCAATGATCTGTGGGTCGGGTTTTGAGTTAAAGATTGCCCCGACCCGAACGAGGGCTACTGACCTGTTTGAAACACTAGGACTGGGGCAGACACAAACAGTTGTCCTCTTAACCTTACCGTCAATTAACTCAATAATATATACCAAGGGAAGAACTCGCCGCCAATGGACTGGAGCAGACACGAGTAACTTCTGTAAAGTTAATAGAATAACTGTCGCCGCCAATGGACTGGAGCAGACACGAACAGTTATCTTCTTAACCTTACCGTCAATCAACTCAATAATATACACCAAGGGAAGAACTCGCCGCCAATGGACTGGAGCAGACACGAAATAACTCTTAACTTTACCGACATTTTATAAATATCAACAATAAAATCACGTGATATGTAAATATTATAATTATGCGTTTTAAGCAATTTGATTGGTTCCCATATTATACGTCAGTCGTGAACAAGTGATACTTTATTAAAACTATTAGATATAAAAAAAGTCGTGTAGATATTATTTTAAACAAATAAGCTGAAAACAGAGATATACATATATACTGTATATGTGAGTGACTTTTCCAAGTATCTTGGATTTCGACACAGTTAATTGAATGTGTCCAGAAATTAGCATAACGATAACAATTATCAATTGTTAAGTGATATCTAAATAACGTGTGACATTGAACATTGGATAAAACAACCTGATGGTAGATAATGTCGTGAGTAAGAAAAATATTACTAGGAAATGGAAACCATTGTGAAGTCCGAAGCTAAATTTTATTAGTTTAAACTATTTTTAAATTATTTATTAAAAAAAAAATAATAATAAAATTTATTTTATTCTTTATAACTTTTTTGTCTTATTTATTAATTCTATTTTCATTATTAATTAATTAATTTATTAATTTATTTTTTTTTATAACTTTTTTGTCTTATTTATTAATTTATTTTCATTATTAATTAATTAATTAATTTATTTATTTATTTTCATTATTAATTTATTTATTTATTTTTTATTTTTTTTTTTACTGTTAAGGTGAGACATGTCTTATGATCTTTATTAATATGTAATTATTATTATTACATGGTTAATTTTTAAGATATGAGATATATGGACAAAGTGAAACTATGTACATATTAGTCTACTACCTATTATAGTAGATATATTTCTAATAAAAAAACCCTTGAGCAAAAAAAAAGTTAAAAAAGGAACTATCTATATATGAAGACAAAATAAATTATTTATATAAAAATTTGAGAGGCAGGATTGCCATAGTATAAGTGAAGGAATGTAGAGGTATTGAAAGTTGAAGGTTGGAAGTTTTTGACATAAAGTTGCTATATATGTTAATTTGTAGTCAGAGTTAATTACTTCTTGAAAACTGTATACAGTTAAGAAATTTAAGAATGAAAATTGTTAAAGTGATAATAGTGGATATTGAGTTTTGAATACAATTATCTTTTGTGTTAACAATTTCTCTTACAAAACACAAACCAAATGTATCTATTTAGGTTATCACTTCTTTTTTGATAGCTGGACATAACTCCAGCAGCAATAGAAAAGCACAGACTTAAGCTGTCAAATTATGGGGCACAATTTTCTGGTGTTTTACTTTTACTTGCAATGAAAGTATTTACTTTCATTTATATTGATTAGACTTAAACAGCTTTTTTTTTTAATAGTAGCATTACTGCTACAAATAAGAGACCAGTGACATATTCCTTTTTTTCAAGATTTATTATAACCATTGGCAATATTAATCCTTGGCTCTTATAAATTGTAACAGCCCATATAAGATTAATAGAAATTTACATATGTGAGCAGATACCAGTTTTTGCTTTTCAGATATGTTGAATAGGTGGAATTGATACAAGTTTTTTGACTTCTATAGTTATAAAAACAGGACCAGTATAATGGTTAAATTCTATAAGGACTAAATTAGAAAGGCAAGGTGGACTCTAATTATTTTCAAATAAAATATCATAGATAGTTTCCATTAAGCTATCAACTAATCCTACTTCTGTCTATAGATTAGCTCTAAGTATTATATGTGCATTTCTAACAAGTAATAGCTGTGTTTCAAGACTTTTTGCTATATTAGAATCAGCTTTAGATATTTCGTAATCATCTGTATATATGGCATTAATCTTAGCAATAGTATAATTTAAAGACTTAAGCTTGCTAATATTAATTTTATCAACGTCAATTTTTCGAGGAAATATATATACAGCATTTAAAAATTATTCATATCTTATAAATAATATATTTTGCATATTAGTAAATTGTGTGATAAGTGTTCTTCAGTTATCTATTATGGATTTACCATTATATGGTTACAATAAAATATTTCTAAATTGCTTTTCTAAATTTCCACATTGATATAAAATAATATTTGACTTATATATTTCCTAAAACTGTTTGTATATTGCAATTATATTATTTAATAATGAATTATATTGATGAATTTTTATATATATAGAACTATTATGTACCAGTAGAAGCTGGCCAAAATCATCAACCATAATAATTGATCAATCATCAAAAAGTTAATTTCATTATTTAGGAAAGGTCTAACATAACCATATATTAATTAAAGTATGCATTCGACATCCAATTATATTTATTTCATTAATAATAAAATAATTTATATCAAATAATCTTTTTTGCAAGTTTTTCAGCCACTCATCATCAATATTAAAGTTGATATTATTTATTGGAATAGAAAGTATTGAGTGGATTGTTGTCCCATTAATATTAAATGCTATAATTCCAGTTAATACAAGTATATGTATCGGCAATTTGATCTCAGTATTATAATTTCTTGTCATTTTATAAAGTCGATTCCAAATTATTTTAATTAAGTATGATTTTTCTATTTTAGCAGTTTCCATTAATATAATTAGAAGCTGCTCAATCTGGCTATTACCTGTGATAATAGTATTGTAATATGACTCTATTCACTTAAATATTGTCATCTGTTTCGAAAAAAAAAAAAAACTCTTTCTGTTTTACCCTGATCACCTAAAATCCGCAGTAAAACGGCCAAGAGGACGCCCAAAGGCAAGATACAGCCATGGCAACCTGCAACAGCAACACCAGAAGTAAGGGCCCGCCCCTACCCAACACCCGGCCACAATAGGCAGCCAAAACAACGCAAAAAACAAAATCTAAACAGCTTGCAGAACGGCCAGTAGCAAAGGGCAGTACCTCAGCCAGCTGGCTACCTACAGCCGAAGATAGAGTAGACATCGCCTTCGACTGGGCGGCAGACACTCCTATAGAAACTGAGGAATCCCAACAGGTACCCGCCTTGCTTATCCCGGCTACGTTCGGGGAATCAGATGAAGACCCAACGCCCACTGAGCCATATAGCGAAGTGGAGGAAGAATAGATGGCCAAACTCAAGCTACCCAAACCGCCCAGACAGCCGTACAGACCCCCAACAAACTGGCGCACCCAGTACAGCTGTTCACGCTTCAAAGAGGCCATCCAGACAGCCAACCTCAACGGCACAATGGAGCAAAAACTTAACACAGTGAAGCAGGCAGTCGCCCACCTTGACTCCTACATGGGAGCCCGGGTGGCGCAGTACCAAGGGGAAAAAAT